TCAAATCCTCCTTATGCACTTAACATGGATTATTCTCCCAATTTAACACGTTCGCACTAGTTACATAATATTTCTACATCTCACTTTTAATTAGTATTGTGGTACATATCCTACAGCGAGGCAAATTATAAATGAGTTCAACGACCTTCGCTTTCAGTTGAGATCTATGCGATGGATTTTGTTGTCGTTATTGTTTTTTTTTTTATAATTGTTTGTTTTTGTATTTTCAATTTCGATTTCTTTGTCCTTAGTTTTCGTCGGTCTTGTTTTTTTTGCTTTGTTATTTAGGTGAAGATGAGTGGAAGGTGATTGCAGAGAAATTGGGTTCAACACCTGAGGAGATTAGATTTCTTGGCATACGTGAGCGGAACCCCATGCAAACTGTGCTATCATTTGTTCGCGGGAGGAGATTAACAACAGTAGGGACACTTTATGACTACATAAATGAAAGTGGGTTGCCTGTAGTAGCCGATCTTCTGTGAGTGGCTCAGCTTAAAGTGAGAGGACATCCCTGTCCGTGGCAAAAGGTGAATCTACTTCCACTAACCCCATTTGATCATTGTGGCCTTATGACGTAACAGTCGTAGATACAAGGTTTTTTGTTTTATCTTTAGTTTACTTGTGCGATCACTTTTTTTTTCACTTGCCTTTTGCACGGAGTTTTTCAGTTTGTAAAGTTAGAGAAGTTACTTCTTTTACCTATTGTGAATTCAGAGTAACTAAACTGTATTTTAGTGTTCAAAAAAGCTCCAAGGAATAATTCTTGGTATATGTTTCTCTGAGTTGTAAAATATCTAGTCATGTTTAATAATTACAGAGGTACAAGAATGCCAGTCTATCCCAGTCAGAAGTTGACGAGTACTACTTTAAATTCAATAGGCATATCAGTGAAAAAGAAATGAGCTGCTTTATTGTCATACCCACGATCTGATGTGTACCTGTTGGGTCACTTGCCTCGGAGTGGACATTTAAATTTACACGCAATGCACAACACTTGAATAGATATGTCACAGTGTGTGTCATTTCAAACATGTAATCAACCAGATTTTCCTGATGTCCACCCTTTCAAAATTGATTCGGGATGGGGTGTTCCTACAAAAGTGTATTATAAAATTTCAGCTGAAAAAAAACAAAAAAACTTACAGACCATTCTCAAGAACAAACCCTCCATGGGGGGTACTAACTTTCTTGGTTTGTTGCATAGTTCCGTACTGGTAACTTATTGGGGAGTGGGCTCAATCAATCTCGGCTTCCCAAAGGATGAGGGACTTAATAAGAAAGGGGTGGGAACTCGTGTTTTTTTTTGTCATACTGTAAACTACTGAGGTGATACAACCTTCAAGAGAGCGTCAGAAGCGACTTAATCTTTCATAAGGATGTAATTGTTTCATAATATTTAGGGTACATCAACCTTTTTATCATAGTCAAGTACCAGAATAGTGTTGAGATAAGGCAAAAACGTTCTTTTACCGTAATTGGTTCTGGTGCTCCTCGGTGAAAACTCCTGATAACGTTTACGTTTTATACCGTTCTGTGGGACCATAGTTAGTAGAGGGGACTACTAACTATGGTGGGACCTTTGATAGTAAACTCAGTATTATTAAAAAGCATGTGTCAAAACATCTTAGTCAAATGCAGTTACAAAACTTTTAAGAAAAGATCTTCCCTCTTAATGTAACTCTAGGATCGTAGACATCTTGCACGGATTGTATTGCTAGAGATGAAGGATTTAGGGCAGCGGCTATCTTAGTTAGTATTGTGTCTTGATATAGTATCTCAAGTAGCTTTTGTATACGGTTGGCGTTTTAATTTAGTGACCGTCATAAACACAAATAAAGGTTCAAACTAAAAAACGCATTTATCTTATGGATATAATTTGAATATATCAACAAAGTTGAAATGGTAAATTGGCCACCGTTACGGTTATAAAAGCTGACGTTTCGAGCGTTAGCCCTTCGTCGGAGCGAATAGAGGAATTGTGGGTTGTGTGTGCTTTTAAAGGCAGAAAATGGAGCTACGTGATTGGTGGGAACATGGCAACGAGAAAAACACGAATAAATTAGTGGAATGAAAAGCGTTCGTTGATACCTGTGGGATTTAGACTGCCGGTTTGAAAGATGAGCTTTTGTTCAAGAGTTTT